AAACGGGGTACAAAGGGAAAACAAAACAAAACAGAAGGCGCTTACAATTTGGTGTTAGGATCCGACATACGCTTATCGGGAACCTTCGGCATTTGTCTTCAATCAATTAAAGTGAAAAGTGTCTGTATGTATCGAGAACAAGCTATGCCTGTAGATTTTAATTGCATGGAAATTTGAAATTTCTATTTATCCATTTATTAATTCGAAAAAGCCACCTTGTTGCATGCATGATTAAATACCACGGCAATATCAAAATAATCGATTAGACAAGGGAAACTAAGCATAGAAGAGAGCTAGTATGGAGAGGTGGAAAAAAAGAACCATTGTCGGGAAGGAAACTATTCAGACAATTAAATAACACAGTTATAGATTGGAATTGGGCGACTATAAAGAAGGAGTCCCATGAGTATCTTGACAGCGGGCTTGAACCCAGACCACCGGATCCAGTACTCTCATCGCTCGCTAACGCTGACGCTATCAGAGAGCCTTGGAAATATCGTATTATATATATATTTCGGCGAGTAATTACCACTCTTTGTTAGAGGTTTTTAGCTTTAAAGGTCTTAAAATAACTCAACAATTTATTAGTTATAAATGCACTTGTAACTTATTTTGTTTTTGTTGCATTTGTTTAGTTTTATCCTTTCTATGTGTAATACGCATGACCTCGCATTTATCCGGATTGAAGTTCAATGTGCCACATTTTTCGATTTTCACTGGGTCAATTCAAACATTCGCTGTTAAAGATTAACGGTCAGCCGACTTAGTACGAGCACAGCTCTCCGATCTCGCGAAGAAAATTAACAGCGATTTGCGCCCAGTATTTACGAGCAAGAAAATTGCTGATGAGATCAAAGTGACGGAGCCCAAACCATGTCTTGTTAACGAACAATGCGTTGTTTATGAATACAAATGTATCTGTGCGACGCAGATTATGTCGGCTATATGTGCCGACAGCTATTTCAGCGCATTAATGAGCACAAGCATAGGTGATTTGCAACCAATCTCTAGAGACACAGGTAACAGTGGTGAAAGGAATAAATGCTGGTGGACGAACATTGTTTACGTCCACCAACATGGCGGCGATGACGTAACGTGCAAACCACCTATTCTGTCATTGGTAAACACCTACGGGACGTACACAATCTAAGGAACAAAGATCTTCGTGGCCAATTTACAATCCTAAAGAAATGCCGTCGGAAACTGGATTGTTTAATTTATGAAATGCTCTTCATGAAAGGCAGAAAACCAACACTTAACACTCAAGTCTGACTCCATCAAAGCAAAACTTTTTATCTGACAGATCAAGCGCACCACGCTTGTATTTTATTTACCTATTTCATAGTTAGTAGTTTTTTATTCATCGTTTTTATTCTTAATCATATGCATTGAGACCTTCACACTTACTTTTTCTACATAATGAAATCACTAAATGTATTTATTTGAATTTGAGAATGATGGCAGGGAGCCATCGAAACGTCATTCGTTAATATCGGTGGTTTTTATCCTTAACTTGATAACATAGTGCTAGAAAAACGAAAGGTACCTTTCAATGACTTAACAGCCACTTCAGATTTTAAAGGGTTGTAGATGGCTTTGGAAACTTGACCAAAGTTGCCACTTCCAAGCACTTTCACTGTTGTTATTTGATCACGGTCAAGCCTAAATTCATCCACTTTTTGCCGCTCAGCGACAGAACTCATCGAGACGTCTATGTAAATTTGTTTGTGATGGAAATCAATCATAAGATAATAAGGTAAACATCATCATAAATATGATTAGCGATAAATATGTTGTCCATGCAAAAGTACCCTATATCCATATCACTAATGTGCTTGAGTCAAATAAAAAAAGAGCAACGATTATGTGGAGACTTCCTTTCTGTGTACAATTTTTTGTCTGTTTTCTTCTTTTTCTTTCTGAATTTGACTATGCCTTTGCTATCAAAACTGGCTGAATTGAGCGAACGACATTTACTTTAGATCTAGACACGTCGCCAATTTCATATCAAGTGCAATGTCAGCAAATGACACGCACTAATACTGCTTTTGTTGACTAATTTAGTACAAAACTAAAAATTCCAGAGTTATTTAATATTCTCCCGTTATTCGCCACTTTAGAAACGAGCGGAGACTGGGGCGAGTTTTGTCGCGCAAAGTCACTTAGGATCGTTACAGGGGACAGCTACAGATCGAGTTGAAAACCTGACGAATAAAAGCTTTACTGATGTACCCGAAATCGCGGATAAAACTAATATTACTCTGAACGAAAACGATATACCTGAAGCAAAACTAGTCCAAAGTGTTGACGATTGTAGTTGTACAGTTTTAAGACGTTGGCTTTTATGTAGAGGTGCTAAAACGACTGGAGAACTAGCTAAGTTAAGACGAAGGTAAGATGCGATTAAAGAGCTTAAGCTTATGTATTTAACCGGTTTCATATCACTGTAAAAATGCTTATTTAAGCTTGTATTTTACTTCTATTAAAGGGTCAAAGATTACATTAAAAGTGGACTCTACAAGAAATACTTACGAGACCCCGATGGTGGTTTAAATCTACTGAGGAGAAAGGCTCAAGTAGGGGCTCTGAGTGAAACTCAGCCAAACGACGACGACATAAAGGCCTTCCCAAAAGATGGTTATTCTGTGGACCTCGTCAAGACTCCAAACATCTCATTTGGCACTTTATGGAAGTTTATGACAGAAAGCGTTAGCAGTAAAAAGCAGATTACTACAGCAAAGCCCCTCGTTAAAGGATGCAACTTCTTCATGTCTAAACATGTACTCTTCATGTTCCACGTATCAAAAGAGGGAAAGCATTTCATCAAAAGTCAAGTTTTGCCCTCAATGAAGAAATCTTCTGTATATAGTTGCTATATTTGTGTATCTTCATTTGGTTATGTGCTCAGAGCTAAATGTGCTTGTCCCGCTGGAATTGATGGACGGTGTAATCATGTGACCACAAGATTGTTTTCCTTGGAATCATTCCCTAAAACCAAGGATTCAGTACCAAAAGAAACAGATGCTGCTTCGTGTACAGCAAAACCATGTAGTTGGAGTGTTCCACCAAAGAGAAAGGGCCCTGTGCAACCGATTTCAGCTATGAAATTCAACAAGCATAATTACTTTAAGAGGAAGAGGTTGCGCCAGCCAATGTTTGATGCAGAAAAAGAGCCCCTAATCAACAAAAATGGTCTGATGACAAAAAGAAATCAATGCTAGATAAGCTCAAAGTAATGGAAGAAGAAAGTGATAGTAAAATAGGTTGGTGCCACATTTTGCCACAAGAAATACCAGCAGAGCTCAAGAGCACAGAACATGAGTAATGTCAAAGTGACAATGTGAATTTAGAAAATGTGCTCATTGCACCTATTAAAGCTTGTGAGAGTCCTATTTCTTTACACGGCATAAAAGAAAGATGCAATAAAATAAAAAAGAAACTTTATGTTATTCGAGAAGAAGCTAATAAAATAGAAGAAAATACTAGAAAGCAATCTGAAAGTGAACTTTGGTGTACTTAACGCAGATATAGGATCACTGCTTCAAAGGCATATAGGCTTGCAGTTATGAAAAGCACTACATCACCAACCAAAGCTCTTAAAGAACGTCTTTATTCACAAGATAAACCAACAAAGTACATGACAGAAGGTCTGGCTACAGAGCAAGAAATATTAGAATTATACCAGCATAAACAAGCTGAATGTGGGCATGAAGGTCTACAAGTCTCTGAGTGTGGCTTTGTTATAAGCCTGACTGATGGATCTCTTGGAGCAGGCCCTGACCGCATGGTGCGTGACCCTTCTGTAGAAGATCCACAAGGATTGTTAGAAATGAAATATATTCAAACTGAGAAATACGACTCCTTGGAGGATGCCTTGTTGCAAAAGAGAATTTGTATCAAAGATAGTGAAGGAATTCACATCAATAAATGCCATCAGTAATTTTATCAAATACAGCAAGCTTTGTTTGTCACTAGAAGAATGTGGGTAGACTTTGTAGTCAAAGGCTCTACATATGAAGAAATTTACATTGAGAGAGTTCCATTTGATTCCATATAGTGGCTTGAAGTAAAACAGAAGTTGGAACATATTTTGATGCACATATATGCCCAGAACTTGCCTTTCCAATGATAAAGTATGGCCTTCCAAGAGTTGATTTTTTAACCAGAAGTAATTAAATTATTTGGAAACTTATTATCTTTTTTATTCATATGAAATGGGCATTAAAATAGTTGTTATGTATTGTAATAATTGTGTAATACAATAATATATTATAATAACAAGTTCAATATTTGTCATTAAAATATTTATTTGAGTATCATAATAGTTGTACATTTTTTCTTATACTAGAGTAATGACACTTCCCCATGGAAAAAGCTAAAATTGTTTTGTTTCATTATAAAAGCATATTTCAAGATCTCAATGGTGGTAAAAAATTTGAGAAAGCTCTTATCACAACCATAATGTCTGAAGCAAATGGAGCCATACTAATGGGTATTTTCCCGTCCAATATATGCCAGTTTTTCAGTTTTTCCATCATACGCTCAACATGAATTCGTACGCTTGCAATAGCTTTGTTCTTAGCTGTTGTCTCTTGCATTGAAAACTGATTTTTCCCCTTTAAGAAAGCAGGGATCACCGATGAAACACCAACAGATGCTAGCTCATCTTGGATATTGAACCCTTTGTCAGCCATTATTTCCTCTCCATGCTCTAGTTCATTAAGAAGTCCACTCATTTGTGTGATTTTTTTGTCAGATGTGCTTCTATACAATACTTTATTTAAGAACAACATGCAAATGCATAGTTATTAAGAAAAAGGAAACCCAGAGGTTAACCCTATATCAAGGGTCTCCTATTTATGTATAAAATCTTAAAGAACTAGCTAGTAAAAAATATAAAAAAAGTCAAATAAGAAGCAGCTAAATATCATAAATAAATATAAAATGGCGATTCAATAAATATTCATATGTTTCTTCAATTTTGATTTAAACTCACTAACGTTAGGGCTGTCACAAAAAATTAAATACATTAATAGGAAGATTATTCCAGGGTTTGATGATTCTGACAAAGAAAGAAATTTTGTAGCAGTTCAGTTTTGCGAGTTTGAGTTGTAGTTTATAAGGATGGTTAGATCTCGACTTAGTGTTTCTACAAAGTTCAAAATAGTCACTGAAATTTGATCCATTTAGATTGAAAACAGTTTAATAACATTCCACTAAGGAAAGGAAATCTCTCCTTAGTACTGAAGAGTTCCATTTAAGAATTTTACATCTCTCCTTATACGCCATCTCTTGTCTTCTTTGGCCTAAAGCAATTCGCGAAGCTCTTCTTTGTATCTTCTCAATTTCTTCGATGTCTTTGATGAGGTATGGTGACCACACCGGACAAGCGTACTCCAGGATTGGACGAACCAAGGTTTTGTACAAATTTGAAAAAATATCTTTATTTTTACCGCCTACTTTGCGTTTAAGTAAGCCAAGAACCTTATTTGCTTTGTGAAATATTTGTTCAACATGTTTTGACCATTTCAGGTCACTAGTCATAATTGCTCCAAGATCTTTGTAATTAGAAACATTCCTCAACACTGTACTCGATATATTGTACCGTGTGGACTTTTTGTCTTTGTTATGTGTAATTCTCATGACTTCACATTTAGTAGAAAAAAATTTCATCTGCCAACGATCCGCCCATAGGTCGAGGGTGGTCAGATCTATCTGTAAAGCAATAGTTTCTTCGACATTATTTATCTGTCGGTAGATTTTGGTATCATCAGCAAATAACTTAGCGGTAGACGTGATGATGCCAGGTATTTCGTTCACATAAATATGGAACATAACCAGTCCCAGTATTGAGCCCTGAGGGACACCAGATGTAACAGGTGACCAATCCGAGTACGATCCACGTACCATAACTCTTTGTTTTCGATTGGTTAAGAAGTTCCTGAACCACAGGTGCAGTTGTCCGTCTATCCCGTACCTATTGAGTTTTAAAAGTAGGCGCTCCTGAGTGACACTGTCGAACGCTTTTGACAGGTCCAGAATTATTACATCAGACACTTTAGACGAATTTCTTGTTAAGCACCAGGCATTACAACAGCTTAAAAGTTGTGACACTGTCGATCGGCCTTCCAAGTATCCAAACTGGCTTGGGTTCAGTAGTTGATGTTCAGTCCAAAATGAGACAACTCTTGATTTCACAATCTTCTCCGCCGTTTTACTGATGATAGATGTTAGCGACACTTGGCGATAGTTTTCCTTTTTATATTTGATCCTTTTTATATACTGGAATAACGTGTGCAATTTTCCAGTCGTTGGGTAGTGAGCCGAATTGGAACGACTGGTTAAATAAGTTACAAAGTGACGTAGATAGTTCCAATGCACATTCTTTTAGGATACGAGGTAATAATTTATCAGGACCCGGGGACTTGTGTATGTTTAGGTTTTTCAGATGTTTTTCCACTTCGATAGGTGTACATAATACATTGCACAACTTTTCATTGAGAACATGATCACATTCCGGAAGCGACTTTAGTTCTTGTGTAAATACTGATGCAAAATATGCTTTCATATGTTGTGCAATCTCTTGATCACCAGTAATTTCTACACTTCCATCTTTTAGGAACAATAGGTCGTTAGTTCCCTTTTCTTATTGATCTCATGTAGTTCCAAAAAGGTTTGGAATTATTCTCTACCTGCAATTTATCTGCGAGTGCCTCAAGATGCCTCCATTTGGCTGAGTTGCATTTCTTTTTCAAAGAGTTGTTCAAAGTACGATAGGCGATCTAGTGATTTTCATTGTTGGATTTTTTTGCTTTTTTGTAAAGGTGTTTCTTTTTCCTGCACAATTTGATTAAATCTTTCGTAATCCATGCAGCGATGTTTTTTCTTCTATGCCGGTACTTGGGAATACTTTCATTTACCGCTGCAAAATAAAGATCTTTCCATGCTTCCCAGTTAGCATTTATGTCCTGTTGTTCTATTGTAAAGTACCAGGGTGAATAACTGAACAAAGATTTTAGATGATTCCAGTCTGCCTTGTTGAAGGCATAATTTTCTTTGGTTGAGATCCGTTGTTGGTAGGGGCGAGTGTTTACGATAAATGTTATTGAATTATGGTCGGAGAATGGTTCACCGACTTCCAAGTTATTTATCAGGTCGATGTTAGTCGTTAGTACTAGTTCTAATATGTTGTTCTCACGAGTAGGCTCGTCAACCATTTGATACAAGAAATGGTCTTGAACTATTGCAGACGAGAGGTAGTGATGCTCAGATGATTTAGTAGGATGGTTTGTTGACCAATCAAACTCGCTTAGGTTAAAATCGCCAGTAATGAGAAGATCTGTGGTTGTAATCGAAGAAAGACATGACCGAAGGTCTTCCAGAGGCTTCAAGTCACTTTTTGGCGGCCTGTAAAATGTTCCAATCGTTAATTTCTTCTCTCCGTCCATGATTACTTCAACAAATAGTAACTCAGAAGGCAGATCCTGGTGTTCTCGTATTGAGGTGATTATGCTTTTCTTCGTCGCGATCAAAACACCACCGCCATATCTAGCTCCATTGCCGGCGCGGTCTTTCCGGTAGACAGTATAATCGCTGCCGATAACTTCCTCACTTGAGATCGTACAGTCTAAATGTGTCTCAGTTAGAACAACGATATCCGCTTGCATATTAGCCAGTTCCAATTGTACTTTGGCAACTTTGTTGACAATGCTCCTGGCTTTTGTGTAGAATACCTTCAACTTCGAAGTGTGATTCTGTCTTCGAGGTCGTGTCATGCATTTAGGTACGTAACAGGGATTAGTTTCAACATCACCACTGCATAGGATCTTGAAGACAGCTGGGTTAAAAGCACAGGAGGCATTTGAATAGTATTTAAAACGCCTCGAGAGGAACTTTGAACGCTGGAGGCTCCTAAATTTTTCGAAAGTTAACACGTGTAACGACAGCGGTCGCACCAACATCTACATTTCCACTGATAAATACTCGTGGCTAAGAAACGATCTTTCCTGATTGTGCACAATGGTAATAATGGTCGAAGAGGCCGTTGTGCGGAGGCAGATTGCCCAAAGAGGCACAGAATATCGCCAAGAAAGCTGTAGTCACGAGAGCATAACCTTCCGCCATAATGTATTCATATACTTTGGGAAGAAATCCCCTTTGATGTATTCATATACTTTCCGCCATAATGTATTCATATATTCCGCCATAATGTATTCATATGCTTTCCTAGAAAGAAATCACTTACAAAAAGACCACTTCATAAATGGCTGCCAGATTAATATTATTTTGTTTAAATTCAAATGAACCTTTCTGGCCTCGTTCTCCAATAGAAAATTCAAAAGAAAACATTATCTAAAGCGAGGCCAGAAAGGCTAATTTAAATTTCAACAAAAGAATATTAATCCGGCAGCCATTTATGAAAGTGGTCAATGCAAGCACACTACTTGGAGTAATACCAATCAGTGGTTTCATTGTAGGCTTGCTCTTGTAAAATGAATAGCATGCTGATTGAGAGTCTAGGGCAAAAGGTCTCTACATTTCCACTTCTGTGCAGTCAATTATTAAAACAACTTTGGGGAAAAGCTTCTTAAATGTCTTTGGGCTGTAAAATCTAAGAACATCCCTTGATGGCATCTTGATAAGAGGCTCAAATTCTGATTTTAAAAATTTTAGCTATGTCCTTACTATTACAGAGATGGTTGACTCTGAAACCTCAAATCTATGGGCAAGGTCTCCTTCAAACAGTCCTAGTCTTAGTCTCATAAGGACTACAATAAACTCCTGAAACTTTGTTAAACTTCTTGGCCTTCCAATATTTGGCTGTTGGAAATATAACCTTTCATAGTTCCCATGGCTTATTTGCTTTGCTGACTCTTCAATAAGGCTGTAACTCAAAAGAAGTGTCTTGTAGCTGGAGAATCCTGTATAAAAATCAATATCTTTATCACAGTCTTTAAACTTTTCAATGTCTTAAACGAGTTGCAGTGTTGCTCAATCACTGTATCTCCTTTCTTGCTTTTTGTAATTCGTGCCGTAGCCTTGTATTTTCTTCTCGTAGCTTTTCAAGTACAATGTCATTATCTTGATCAGCAGGGATTTGCTAAAGCAAAGGCATAGAAAAAACCAGGAAAGATTTATTACTCGACGTTTCGGGGTCATCGTGACTCCATTATCAAGAGACTAGTTTAAAAACATGCAAATAAGGAAAGGTACAAGAATAGCATAAATTAGACTGAACGGCTTAAATAAACACCTTGGCGCGGATGGAATCCGTTTGCACGTTCAGTGTTGGCTTACGCATGCGAATATACAACATTTCATTAACAAGGCAATCAAATTTGCCGTTACATTTCGTGATGACGTTGAATTGCTCGATCAAGCGTTCAGGCATTTCACTATTGTGCTGGAGGTGGTAGTGTTTGTAGATAGAAGATGATTTCCTT